TTTTTATTCTTTTTTCACAGTTAACTCACAAACAAACTTCAATTCCAACACAAGTCACACAGCAAACTAATCCCAAGTACTCCTTGAACTCACTTAAACGTCCTTTTTTAATTCGTGTTTGGCGTAAAACTCTCTTGGGAAGAGAGCAGCACAATTATATGAAGCTGTTATGGAGAGCAGTTTTGAACGTCTATGTTTAAAATTTTTATTTGACATTGTTTCTTAACATATGTAATACAATTTTTGAACACAACTTTTCGGAAATACTACTATAAAAACTAAGTTTTCGTAAAACACTTCTTATTAGCAATTGAATGTCTATCTTCCTTGCGTAAATTTATTGTTGTTTTCTACTGTAATGTCAAAAGTAATATGTTGATTTATAGACCAATTGTGTCTATGAAACATAGTTTTTAAAATAGTGTTGTAAAAGAGTATTTTGAGTGTAAGATAATTTAATCACTAAAAATATTTAAATATAATATAAACATATTACTGCACAATCTTTTTTTTAACATATTTTATATATTAAATATGTTAAATTTTCCACACAAACGTTAAAGTTGAACAGGTTGTATTAAACATGAAAGCATTAAATATAAAATAAAATTAAATAAATATATAGGCATTATTTTCCATTAATGGTATCGAATATTTTCTAAACGTCAGTTAAGCTTTGTTTAATGTAATGTATTGAAAATAAACATACGATAATTGTTTTATTATGTACTAATACTTGATTATTTCATAAAACATTTTTTAATTCTACATATATTCATAGTAGTACTGTTTATATATCTATAATAAATACAGAGTAGTTCTAAGATTTAAGAAAAAATCACTTAAATTTAGTTGAATGTTTTTTTTCTGTTTTTAAATTTAGCTGTTTGTGCTTAACAATACAAACGTATATAAATAATAATGCCTAAATCACATAACAAAATTGTAAAACACTTAATTAAAATAACGATATTAAATTTAACATATATTTATGAAAGTACTAACTTAAACTCAAACTGAACAAAGACTTTATTTTTCAAACTATTTTCAAAACAATTCATTTGGCATTTTTCAGAAAAATCACATCATATTGCTCACTTGGGGTAGTAATTGTCCATGTTTTTGGTTTTTTTTTGTTATTTTTTGAAATAAACTACATATATATATTAAATTCCAACTTCAATGTCAGCATTTATTTTTAATTTCAAAGTAAAGTAACGAATATCAAGTGTTAATGGCAATTTTATGATAACAATACACACATAACATACGATTTGAAAAATTATAATATATGTCAGCAAGCTAAACGTGTGAAGAAAATTTAATACGTTGGACACATATAGCATGTTAAAGTAAGATCATATTTTGCCTTAATATTTTTGAAATTAAAATTTTTGTATTATGTTGTTTTATTTAAAAAACAGATACATACTAGAACTCTATTATAATTTCATAAAAGTAAACATTGTGCATAATCTAATTATTAAACTTAGCTTTAATAATATCAAAAACTGTTTTTGACACTTGCTATATTTATTTACATTTTGCATTGCTTTAATTATAAGGAAATTAATAATGAATGAAAATAAATAATTAACTCTGATTTTTATTCATCATCGCAGCTGTCAAACTTTGGCGTAGCACATTGAAAGTTCATAATATGAAATACAATATGATAACAAAATTACAAAATATGAATTTCATAAAAAACTGTTCATCAAAATGGTCAAAAACTTGAACAACTATTTTGGTATTGCAATTACCCAAATTAGATGTTCTCTGAAGATGACTATGGTATATAGTCGAAATATCGTAATAATGTTGTAATAAAATGTAATTTTGATTTATTTATTTATATATAAATAATAAATTCTTGTTTTTATTTTGTTGTTTAATTGACTGATTAGCTCGCTTAATAATTAATACATAATTGCACTGCTTGCATTTGATGCAATATATCAATGTCAGATTGCATGGGGTATTGATTTTGGTTAAAATAATAAATTCATTGCATTAATTATTAAGAGTACGAATGTATAAGAATAAGAATATATATGAATTATGTTGCGATGTTTTAATATTGCATATGTTAAACATATGAATTTTTCATAGGCTGCTATTGAACAATATTTACGTTTTTCAACACTTTTGAAACACCATATTAACGCGAATGTCATTTGAACTGCCTTACCAACCAAACGACAGCTGTCACTTTGGTTCTTTTCCGGTTTAATTCGCTAACAAGAAGGTACGATTATGTGAAAATTGTAATAAATATTATAAAACATCAACACAAAATGGGTGTTAAACGAATTTTAAATGCTAAATATTGGCGCAACAATAGAAAAAGAAATAAATGTGCCTAATATATATTAGCTGTATTAAGAAAATTGTTTGCGAGAAATGAAAACAAAATTTGTGTATTATTAACATTTGGAATGTTTCAGTAATGTTTTTCTTTTCTCGGCAGAAATTAAACAATGTATTCGAGGGAGCCTGAAAATGCTATAAAGTCTTGCAAAGCCCGTGGACCAAATCTACGCGTGCATTTCAAGGTAAATTTAATATATAATGGAATAATATTTTAGTTAAAAATTTATACACTAATCACAAAAACAACACGTCAAAAAAGTGTAGCTGTCAAATTGTTAAGCGGCAGTCGAACGCTGAGCATGCTTTATGATAAACTATGTGGTCAATGAAATATAGTTTGGAATCAATATTAATTATTTAATTCAATTTATTTACCTTTTGGCAAATTATATGGATTTGGTTACTGAAGTGAAAATTGTTATATTGCATCTTAAATCAGTGTTTAAAAGATCTTTTTTGCTTTCTCAACATTTTTGCAAAGATGTTAGAGGAATGTTTGACAGAGTATCAGCTGGAAATATAGTACTTAATCGGTTTTGCATCTAAAGCTCTTGCTACAGTTAATTAGTTAAAAAAACGCTTCATTATATGCATCTAATACCAGTGTGAGAGGGAATCTTTGGTTGTTCTTGCATTTTTAAATGATGCCAAATAAATGTATGCCAGGCATTAGCTGCAAATCTAAATCTTAATTATTGGATTTACTTTAATGCTCCGCTATATAATATTTTATATATATTAACCATGTATATCAATTGGGCACAATAGACAGCTGTGGCGGCCGTTTACAGAGTACGCTTGGAACCACTCTACTTTGAATGAGTGAATTAATATTAAATTTTCTATATAATAACGAAAAAAAAATATAATAGAGTATCTGCATCTAAAATCAGTGTATGAAAGATTATATTACTTTCTTAACATTTTTGCAAAGGTGCTAGAGCAATATTTGGCAGAGTATATCAGCTGGAAATCATGTGCTATATGCAGATTTACTTCTAAAACTCTAGCCACATTTGTTTTAGCTAATAATAATAGTATTGAAGACATTAGAATAATTTATCTGCATCTTAAATCAATGTATAAAAGATAATCTTCCTTTTTTAACATTTTTGCAAAGGTGCTAGAGGAACGTTTGGCAGAGTAGATCAGCTGGAAATCATGTGCTATATGCAGATTTACTTCTAGAACTCTAGCTACATTTGTTTTATCTGATAATAATAGTATTAAAGACATGAGAATAATTTATCTGCATCTTAAATCAATGTATAAAAGATAATCTTCCTTTTTTGACATTTTTGCAAAGGTGCTAGAGGAACGTTTAGCAGAGTATATCAGCTGGAAATCATGTGCTATCTACAGATTTACTTCTAGAACTCTAGTTACAATTGTTTTTTCTAATAATAATAAAAGTACTGAAGACATGAGAATAATATATCTGCATCTTAAATCAATGTATAAAAGATAATATTTCTTTTTTAATATTTTTGCAAAGATGCAAGAAGAATTTTTGGCAAAGCATCAGCTGTATATCTTATCTTAATTAGAGATTTACATCTAGAACTTTAGCTA